CTTCTGGGTTCAAGAGATTCTCCTGCTTCAGCCTCCTGAGTAGCTGGGATGACAAGTACCCACCACTATGCCCAGCTAATTTTTGTATTTTTAGCAGAGATGGGGTTTTGCCATGTTGGCCAGGCTGGTCTTGAACTCCTGACCTCAGGTGATCCACCCACCTCAGCCTCCCAAAGTGCTGGGATTACAGGCGTGAACCACCACACCCAGCCCAGTCATTTTTTTTCTACCACACAGGAATGTGACTGTCAAGGAAACTAAAGGAGGCTGCCAGCCCTACTGCCCTGTGGGCGTCTGTTGTCTGGATCGGGGGACAGCCCATTGCTCACAGTGCGGTGACTGCTTTCCCTCTGAGGCTTCGATGTCACTGCAGTTTGGGAAGGAGCTTTTCCTCCCAAAACAAAACAAGAAAAGGAAGAGACAGAAAAAAAAAAAAAGGTTCCCAGGCAGGGCTCCCTTCGTGGGAACCATTCCAAAGAATGTCAGAGCAGCCCTGAGTGGGGTGGGAACCGCGATTAGAATAGCTCCCGAGCCCTAGCTTGGGACTTCGGGGAGCGGCACCGTGTACCCGCGCGTGCAGCCCCATCTGTAGAGGGACACGCACCCCAGACGTCATGCACCCTCCATGTGTTCACAGGACACACACATGCAGTGTGCAAGTGCACACAGATACCCTGGTGTGGGACACATTCCAAGCCTCCAAGCAGGCCACTCAGCCTAAATGGTCTCCCCCATCACCACTGCCAGACGCCCTGTGCCCTGCCCCTCCCCACCTCCCAGGCCGGCCTAGTTATCTGATGCATTTGAAAGGAGACCTGGTTCCATGGAAAATGTTTTTCATGTTTCAGACCAAAAGAGTTTGGTGTTTCCTACGTATTTGTTTTCCCCTTTCTTGCGTGAGAAGCTGGTGAGTGCGAATTTATATATTTTGCTTTGCTAGGTCCCCCGGGGCTTGCTATCAAAGAGCACACATTCATGCCACATGTGATTTAGAATCCCACACGTGGAGGAACTCTAAAATTAGTTGTTCTGTGTGCTTACAAAATTAATCTTATTCTCTCATAGCTGTATGTTAAATGTTAGATAACACTTTTATCTGTATGTCAGTAAACAAAAATATAGGATAGTAACCAATTTCCATGTTCTATGAATATTTTATTTATCTATTTATTTTAAGACAGAGTCTTGCTTTGTCACCCAGGCTGGAGTGCAGTGGCGTGATCTTGGCTCA